AGAACGGCCATGTCTATCTCGAATGGCCAAAACGTGAGCACATATTCTTTTCTTCTCCAGAACTCTTGCGCCTTCATAGAGGATTCTCCCATCCTGCCACGGATAAACTCTACAACCTGCTCCGCATGGCTCGACCTTACGAAACGAAGCAGGAAACCAAACAGGTCCTGGACCAGATTAAACAAGCATGTGACACTTGTCAGCGCTTGGGACCAACCCCCCTTCGTTTCAAGGCCTCCCTTCCAACGGAGGATTCCGTTAAGTTTGGGGAAGAACTATCTATGGACCTCATGTTCCTAGACGGAAAGGCCTTACTCCACATCGTCGACACGGCCACTCGTTTCTCAGCTGCTGCCTTCCTCGATGAAGACTTCGACCAAAGTGTTGAAGGTATTTGGTTAGCCTTCATTCAAATATGGTGTACCATGTACACCGGTTACCCAAACCGTCTCCGAGTTGACCAAGGATCATCCTTTACTTCTGATCGCTGGCGCCAACTCACTGACCATGCCGGCATTCAGCTCAGAATTTCCGGAGTCAAAGCTCACAGCTCCCTTGGAATTAGAGAGCGACTCCAAGAACCTCTGAGAAGAATTTACAGAAAAGTGCGAGCTGAATACCCCCAAGCACACAATAAAATTCTTCTCAGCATAGCGGTAAAAGCTATGAACGACACAATCGAAGAAAAAGGGCTTGTACCCTCATTTCTCGCCTCCGGGATAACTCCTCGTTTTCCCATCATCAGCACTGAGCTTCCAACACAAGAAGAACGAATGGAACTACTGACGTCTGCTCAGATGGAATTGAATTTAATCATAGCCGAAAGAAGAATACAAGCAGCATTAACAAGACAGATACCTCCAGCAGCCGATAGGACATATCAACTAGGAGACGAAGTACTAGTCTTTAGTGAACAGGATAAGAACTGGTTAGGACCATTTATAGTTATGCATGTTCAAGGAAGAATGATAACTATTCAGAACAGGGAAGGAACATACAGGCAAATGTTCAACGCCTTCCAACTCAAACCATATTACTGAGATCACAGTCCCATTACCCACTATCAAACAAGAATATTCCGTTCTCCCCTTGCTCCAAAGACTCCCTTCTCTTCCTTTATCACTGAAGAAATCAAACCTAGTGACCCTAGAGCACGCCCGTTCTCTGCAGCTAAAAAGAAGGAGATAGAAGGACTCATCAAGAGGGAGACCTGGAAAATTGTTACTAAGGATGAAGTACCACGTAATGCTAACATTATAGGAGGCCGCTTCGTCTTAACAATCAAGGACTCCGGTACAAACAAAGAAGTCTACAAGGCTCGCTATTTTGTTCAAGGTTACGTTGACAAGCTGAAATCTTCTTTAGTTCACGATAATCCTACGGCCAGACAGTTTTCAGTCAAAATATTAATAGGGTTAGCAGCAGTATTTGACTTCCGACTATTCTCAACTGACGTTACGCAGGCTTATCTTCAAAGTGCAGAAAAGCGAATGAGAGGTGTGTACATTAAGACGTCAGCAGAATTTGAACTTGGTCCCAATCGACTGCTTAAGCTGTTAAAACCACTATATGGCCTCGCAGATAGTGGAGATTACTGGGGAAGGACCTTAAGAGACCACATTTTGACAGACGTTGGAATGAGTGCAAGTACCACAGATGGTGCACTCTTTTTCAAGAAGGTTGCGAATCAGCTCGCCGGTCTATGTGCTACGCATGTCGACGACTGTCTACGTACCGGAGACGCAAAGTACTTAAAGCTAAGTCAAAGTATTGAGAAAAGGTTTCAGTCTAGAGATAGAGAATTTGACAGGATACAGTTTAGCGGTGTCAATATTGAGACAACCAGCAACGGATTCTGTATCCATCAAGAACGCTACATCAAGACTATTGATTCTCTACCTAAGGATGTCACCTTTGCGCAGTACAGCTCTCTTCGAGCGAAGCTCATGTGGCTCCTACAAACCAGACCTGATATAGCATGTGCTGTCGCTCAATCAACGCAAGTCACCGAAACAAGGTTTAACTCAGATCCGTCAACCCACAGGAAGCTTCTCACCTCTGTTGTTCGTCATATTAGAAAAACCTCCGAACAAAGACTTCTCTATCCAAAGTTAGACAAAGACTCTCTCCGACTGCAAACGTATTCGGATGCTGCCTATAGCAACAACTATGACGGAACGTCCAACTTGGGTACATCGTGTTCCTGGCTGACAAGGAAAACAAGTGCCAGCCGTTGTATGGTCATCACACAAGTCCAAAAGAGTTTCTAGATCAGTCCTAGGAAGCGAGACTATGGCCTTCGCCGACGCCTTCGACATGACTTTCGCCATCAAAAAGGACATGGAGATAATGACCAACCAACCAATTCCTATTTCGATGCTCACAGACAGCTTATCGCTCTTCGACGTGATAACAAAGTCAACAATTACCACAGAAAAACAATTAATGATCGACATCAAGGTGGTTAAAGATTCATATCAACGGAACGAACTACGGAATATTGGTTTCATCCGCTGCGAGAACACTCCTGCTGACGCCCTCACAACGGTTACGCGATGCACTGTTCTAGATCAAATACTGACAGATTCAACACTACGTCACCGTATCGAACTGTGGATCGACAAGTCGTGAGGCACCCGAAGGTGCCCACTTTATTCTGAAGAGGAGTGTCACAACTTTTATCAGTGTCTATCACAATCGTAATCCTTAAAGTTGTGCCACCTGTCCCTAGTGGGTGGCACTACCTCACGTAGACAATTCACCTACCTACAACTTGAGGATCCTCCTAAAGGATCCTCATTACCTAAACGGGCAAACGCCTAATTAAGCCTGATCGGGGCGCATTTGTAGGTAGCACCCCACTAAAAAGGGGGTGAGTACACTTTTAGTCCACTCGGCTTGGCGTCGAGTGGGAGTATAAAGGTCGAGGACGAAGACGGTGAACGTCTTCGTCCAAACAAAAACCTCACACACAAACAAACCGAACCCAACGAACGCTTCAGCAGTCCTTGTCCCCCTCCCGCACCCCGCGCCGCCCCTGCCTGTGCTTCCCCCTTTGCGCACAGAGCCGCAGTGGTCCGCGCCACCTGTCCACGTTTCAGATCACCCGCCCACTCCCCGGGCAAATTCCGACAGTCATCTGCTTCCCCGTGCAGGCTCAAATCGTCATGTTCCCACCTGTTTCCTGGTTATTTTTCACTGCATAATACATCACGATTTTTTTTGTACGGAAAGCCACCGATGAATTCACTTTTGTACAGGCAGACCGTCCAGAATTCAGTCATATGCAAAAGTAGCGATAAATAGATTTGGGAAAGAACAACGAAACTAGATACTGTACCGTATGCGTGATTCTCCTTGCGAAATACCTCAGTGGATATCACCTATCCATAGCACTGCATCGTTGTTGTCCAGAATGAGAAACGTTATTTGCAACACAGCTCTAGCTTCTCAATCCCGTCACCTGATTGTCGCCCATGGAGAACACCACAAGGTTGCTGTTTGGTGACTCATCAGTCTTGATGAGTTACATACAGTATTTGATTTGACCACGCGACACGTTCTACCCCAGGTTCCCTCTAGGATGCAGATGGACGGGTAGCTTTTAAATGCATCCGCGCTGGAAGCTGGATGCAAACTTTCTGAAACTGAGGAGTACTACCATTAGGCACATCTGTTTTGGAAACCGGTGGTAGAACGGAAAAGAAAATTGCATGTTTTCTCGTGAGGGCTCGCCCAAGACGAGAATCAGAGTATGCCTTCAGAACGCACCTCACTTTCTTTGAAGATAATAGCATAGTAGTTTCTTCTCTACTCATGATGACGTGATAGTTTAAAGTTTAGGGACGTTTTACCCACATATTGTATATACGGTAGGCACCAACCGTTTGTCTCACAAGTCTTCCAATATGACCACACCCTCAGGCTCCATAACGGTTTCGAGCCCTTTTTCGAAGTGTCATGATGAGTAGGCAAAGGATGTTACCATACTGATATTACTTTCGCGAGGCTAGCGCATTTTTGCATGAGCCATGTAGCAAAACAGCTAACCACTCTTGGTGGTAGGACCATCTGGTGTGTATGAAGTTCATACCGTGCACATCGAGAGGTATGCCTCCCGACTGAAATTCGACTTAAATTCACGCGCACAGAACTGTTACCTGGTGTGAAATAAGCTTTGTAAGCAACGGTTTACGAGTGCTACGCGTTGGCATCCTTCTTCTCTGAAACTGGGTTGTTCTTTTTGCCATTAGTAAAAACATTGCTTTTTGCCATTAGTAAAAACATTGCTTTTTGCCATTGGTAAAAACATGGCTGAATTCGAGGGAATCTGAGGCCGATGGCCCCTTTTTTGGTGTACATTAGTTGCAGTACAGTGCCTCCTACGATATAGTGCTATAGCGTGACATACCTCTAGCTATGGCACTATTGGGGGGATGGCACTATATAAAGGAGGCTCAAATACATATATTTGGGGACAAAGCACACTGCTAACACAAACACAACAAAGCCTGCATAACACAACATCCTTTGAGTACTGAACCATGCCGGATGATACACGTGTGAGCTTATGATAACCTGTGCCAGAGGGCGAGCCATATCACTATATAGAGGGAAGCACTATTAAAGTAGGCACTATTGAGCGACTCCCCCCTGTATGAGTAATCATTGAAGAGCACCACGATTGGGCCATCTGTTGGAGACTTGTTTCAAGTGCCTTGCTGGCAAGATGCCAGCAAGGTAAGGGCCCCGAAGTGCCCCCCCCCCCCTATCCATACAGATAGCTGCTCGCTTGAAGAAAGGCTTCGAGAATGCGGTTTTAAGGACGCAGTGAACCTGGAAGGCTGTCTTTGACATACCGACCGAATAATGCGCTGCGCGCGAGTCCACTCTCTGCGAACTCGTTTAACGGACGCCAGTCTGAAAGCCGGCCCCTTTGCGTGAAGTGCAAGCCTCTCAGGAAAGCGACGCCCCGTCCCACCATGGCCCCACGCTCAAGAATGGCGACGCTGGACAGCGACATGTTCAAGTGTTGTCACAGGCTGGACGTGCTGCGATGGGTGCAGGACGACTATGCGCTCTCTCTTCTCGAGCGCGCGACAACCCAAGTACGCCCCATTATGGCGAAACGAAAGTGGACCGTTCCCTTAGTAGCAGAATTCTACCCGGACGCAGCGCGGCTGCTCGGCCTCAACCACAACCACGGCGCAAAAATCCAGATTCGGCTCCGCTCACCAAACAACCCTGAAGTATTCCTTCCGTACGAAAACATCCTCGGCACGCTGCTCCACGAGCTAACGCACATTGAAATCGGGCCACACAACGACGCCTTCTACGAGCTGCTGGACGAGCTGAAGCAAGAGTGCGACGAGCTAATCTGGAGCGGGAACGATGGAACGAAAAGCGAAGAGGCGTTTGCAGGCAAGGGAAGGCGGGTGGGGCAGGGGGTAACCATGACGGTTCCGAGGCGTCGGGCGGGTGTGTCGGCAGCGGCAGCCGCGAGAAATAGGCAGAGGATAGAAAGTCTGATGCCAAAGGGGGGACGAAAGCTGGGCGGTAGTGCAGGTATTGCTAGACTGTGTGACCCGAGGGAAATGGCTCTTGCTGCGGCGCAGCGAAGGGCAAATGATGAGGTTTGGTGCGGGGGGTCCGTAGAAGTTGTCGAGCTCGATGACGATGAAGATGCATAGCCGGAAGCGCAAATTCGCGCATCAAAGGAATTCTCCAGCGCCATCTGCAACTTGCCCAGCTCCAGCCAGACCGGGTGCCTGTGAGACAGAACGCTGCCGCTATGGCGGCTCTGAAGAGGTTGGAGCGGAAGTGATAGGCATGTGGCGTGGGATAGATGGGGCACGAGTTGATTGTTCTGTGGTTCCGCAAGGCTCTAATGCCGGAAGTGGGGCGTTTGTTGCCTGGATTCCTACACCTTTGAGATATCTGGGTGCGAGAGGTTTTGGATAAAAAAGGCGTTGCCGAGCACGGCCGCGCATGTAGTGTATATATACGGGTAGTATTGTGATGTCGTCCAGAAGTAGATATTCGACGAAAGCTGACAGCAATCATTCTGAGAGGCATCCAATATCAACAGTCTTTTGTGTACGCACAACGTTGTCACTGACACAATTCTGTCAACGCTTCACTGGTAACTCTCAGCGTCACAACTCGTCTGATGATCAGCGGTGCAGAAGAAGAATGAGCTCAAACCACTGCTGAACCTCCAGGGTGCTGTCGTAGACGCTTCTGCATACACATTTGACAGCAACACGGCCCGGTTCTGCAGTGGCATAGCGCATCAAAAAAGCCCCCGCAGCCAGAGGCACTGACCGAGCAAAGAGCTCAATGGCGAGTCGAGCTGTTCACTGAACAATACCTCCCGCCTTTCGTGCCCCGATTTATGTCTGCTATCCTCCCTCTGATCAAATATCGTATCCGCTGGGTTCCTTATTCCCTTGCCGACAATGAGATGTGCAGCGTTTGCCTTACCCCACGTTCATTTTTGCACACTGCCTTCTAGTGTCGAGATGACAAGTGATCCCAGATGAGGACACTTTTAAACTTTACAATCAAGATAGTTTAGATTACATTTTGTGATAGTTCTTTGTTCTCCGCGATCTACGGTTGACTTGCTCTACAGTTGACTTGAAAGCCTTGCAGACCAGAAACATTCACTTTCTAACGTTCTTCCTCGAGATATTGGCCATTTAGTCGATCAACTGCTTTTCGATAACGTCCAAATTTGAGATGTTGTTTAGTCTCTTATAACTATTTATACTTTGTATTCATCTTGTATATAAATGCCCATCTTTAGGATGTTCAGAGACAACGCCGATGTTCAAAAGACTTGATGGATCGCTTGGTCCAAAGTACATGCGCATACAAAGAGACGTGCAGGTATTGGCGTTTAAAATTATTATGCTAAATGTTTGAATTAATGTTTTTGGTGCAAATGTTTTGATTTCGTAGGAGCTAAAACTACTCTCACCGCAGTGGGTCTTAGCTCTTAAGAGCTAAGACTCGACTGCATTGTTTTGGGTGTCTACCTTGACGATCGAGCCTAAGATTAGGCTCGATCGTCAAATACCAAGGGTAGACAGACACCTTCTCTGCACCCGTTCGCTCTCATGCACGTGTACTGCTGTACTGTAAAGGACGCTGAATTTTGGCTGTAAGTATTTACAGTATCCCTTGCACGTCAGTCCTTGTTGCCGCATGACCCAGGAGGCAAAGCCACTCTGCGGGATATGACGCAATCATATGAAGGTCAACCATTGGGTCAGGGTTGGGCATCTGATGTCGATGTTTACAGTAACGAAGGCTCTCTAGCTGTAAACGTAGTTGGCAGCACCAAAACGGTACCGCCACGTTTCCGTATCCTTGCTGGCTCTGCTGCACACGGGCCAGGCCCCGTTAGCAACCATCTCAAAAATGCCACGAATGGATGCTTTCTCCTCACATGTGCATCCCGGCCAAATCTCTTCTATTTTCTCTGCATTGACAAAGCCCAAGCCGCAGGTGTACCCCACCAAAACGTATCCACGAGACCCAAAGCACGTCCCAGAACGGTCTCTCCCCCAACTGTTGGCAATTTTTGTCCGGCGACGTCGCTTACTCACATATTCGAAAGGGAACACGAGAACAAGAGCAACAATTGAAAGACGACAGAGACAGCCTGCTGTGGGTCTGCACACCTCGCTCTCTGTGATTTTCTTCGCTCGCTTCCTCTTTCCTTGCCTCGCAACCGGCATCGAAAAATGGGGTCTTCGTCCTCAAAGTCCAAGCCTGCTGCTCCACGAATCACCGCGACTTTTCCGGGAGATCCAGACCATGGCAGTAAGTCTTTCTTTTATTCACTCAACTTCGTATTGATGAATTCACCTTAATCCATCCTAACACCCCTCTGAAACCCCAAAATGCGTCGTCACTCAATTTGGCGATACCGCTGCATACTCCCGCTCCCGTCCAAATTAACAGAAGTAGTCGTGGACGACGTCGCGGAAAAGCCAAAAGCTCCGAAACCCCGTCTACTCAAGAAGCGCATCCGCTGCTACATGGACATCGCCATCGACGATCAGCCAGCCGGTCGTCTCGTCTTTGATTTACGTTCGGACCTCAAGCCACGCACCGCTGAGAATTTCCGCTCCCTCTGCGCCGGCGACAACGGACTCTCGTACAAAGATTGCAAGTTTCATAAAATTGTCCCAGGTTTCGTCCTGCAGACGGGTGACGTTGAGCTTAAAGGGGAGAAGAGAGAAGGAAAAGGGGGCCTCTCAATTTATGGAAGGTTTTTTGCAGACGAGAAGCTCGATAAGCTCTCGCATGATGGATACGGCGTGCTCAGTATGGCGAATGCTGGGCCGCATACCAACAACTCCCAGTTCATGATCGTTGTCGATCCGAAAGGCACGAATTGGTGTAGGTTTTCATCTTCCCTTTTTTCTATCTCGGCCTGACGAGATTCTACACTGTGGTTTTCGACTAATGTTTTGTCACCATATTCGCTTTTTTACTGACTTTCTTCGTCCCTGCATTTTTGGAAACATGCACGCTTGCGAACAAAGTGGACGGGAAGCATACGGTGTTCGGAAGCGTGGCAAAGGAATCCTTTGAAACCCTGCAGAGGATAGAAGAATGTGCCGAAGTCTTTGAACGCGACGCGAAAGAACGAGCAAGGATCATTAAGACATGCACGATTATCGATTGTGGGCAGTTGTGAGAATGACACTCTTAAGCCAGACCGCGGTATTGGCTGTAGATGGGGAATGTTTTCGCCGTGGCTCTTGGGGAAGAACTGATCTATTGGTGACGATACTCATTGGTTTTGCACACACTCTTACTGTGTGATGACCTTCGGAACATCTTCGGGCTTTTTCCGGCTTGAACGATTTCCGCTGTTAATTTTGTGGACTTGGTCCATTTCCGTTGTGCCCTCGGAAAATTCGAGGGATGTTGATAGTGTAGTGTACTGTAGTGCTGTTGAGGAATGACTTAGAAACACGTGGAGACGTGGACAACGGGTCCATAAACCGGAACTGAAGGACACGCGCGCTCCTGTAGGGAACCGAAAGCGCGGGGGATCCAGTTCCCGAAGGAAAACGAAGACGGCACCGGATGGCAGGAGTCGGGGCGAGGGGAGCGCGGGGCTGTCGGTAAGGGAAGCGAAAAGCAGCGAGGGAGTAGTCATTTTTGTGGGGCAAGAGAGGGAGAGAGACGACGAAGGGAGTAGGCAAGGGGGGATCAGAGACAGCCGAGCCCCCTCGGGGAAGTAGTACTTAATAGCCAACCCTCGGAGATAGAGAGAAAAGGAGGTAGACGCAGCAATAAAGGGAATTGAGGGAGGATCCCCATCCAACAGGTTGCTCGGTGCCAGGCGGTTGAGGGCCGTTCCTAACGAAGAGTTCGCCGTGCCAGCACCTGAGCACCCTGAAACTTGGCCCTCAGGGCCGTTCCTAACGAACGCAACAGTGCTGTTCTGTAGAGGCAACAAAACATGAGAGCCTGGCCTCCTTCCGTCTACGAAGTATGCCTCGCAATTTCACACTTGTTTCTTGGACCGGCCCGCGATTGCTTCAAGCAAACAACTCTTCCCTTTGGAACGTTGAATATCGCTAACGCTTACCTTCGTTACGGTCTTTCCTTCGAGGGCTCACTACAGCTCCATTGAACATCGCTACTTCATATACCGTGGGTGCCACATCTTCCTCTGTCCTGGTCGGGACACTTCCCCTTTTGCTTAGTGGTTGCTTCTCTCATGGAATGCAGGTCGCTTGAGGCGGTTCACTGCATTGTTGAACTACCCATCCTGCGATTTTCAGGACAAATGAGTAGCACATTGTACAAGTCCTTATCGTCGACGACGCTGACTGATATTTCCTGCATACACTGCGAGCTCTATGTCTAATTGCAAGCTATCCATACAACGTTTTAATCACCGAAAACTGCAAAACTGGTTAGGATGGTTCTTGTCCAAAAGCTTCAATATAAATACTACTTGTCCACGGCATTTCCTATAAATCAGACATCAGTACGCTGCCGTGAGTCACCGCTAGTGCTTGCAACCACGGTGATATCATGGCCTGTAGTCTGCTATCCGAAAGGGGAGGGCGGGGTGATACCCAAGTGGGGACATCAGACCTCGTCAAGCAAGCCAAGGCTGCGACATCAGGTAGCTTCGAAAAAGAATCTAAGTCTGGTCATGTTGAGCAATCGCATCCTTCCAGTCCTCACTTTCAGATTGTGCTGAGGGACGGGGACTCTCGCCCGCTGGCTCTTCTCCGTTTTCAATGCGAACTAATGTATCATCAAAATCGTCCGCATCACTGAACCGCACTGCTCCCGTGTTGAGTCCCATACCGTTCAGGTTTTCAATGGTTTCTGGGAGAGGTTCAAAACCGGGATGACCGTAAGTCTTCGCCAGGCTTGTCGGAATCAGGTCTTCGCTGTCCTCTTGTTGGATATGCTGTATAGTATGCACACCCGATCCATGATTCAGAAGGCGAGCATACCTTTTCTTACACTTTCGGATGAACAGGATAGAAAAGACAAGGGGTATGACGGATATTGCACATTGAGCAGGCTTCTTGTTAAGGCCGAATAGCCCCATGATCGTGAGCAGGTGGACGAAAAGTCCAACCCACACTCCGTACAATGCCCCGCCGTACATGCTTCCGCCGTCGTGGTAAGGGTTATTCATAGAATAACACAAGTTATATTTCCAGACAACGTAGTTGATGGCAAAGTAGGCAAAGCATACGATAATCACAAAGGGCTGGACTGTGCTATATATCAGCCCAAGAAGAGCAATGAGCTGTGCCATGGCATAGTAGCGAAGATACACGAATATTGTGTTTCCAGTCTCGACATTTCTGCGCTCTCTCGCTGTCCGGGCGAGGAACTTGAGCATTATCCACCGCACGGCAACCCGTCCAATTTGCAAGATCTGTTGTGGCGTCTCGGAAAGCGCCTTTAACAGAATAAAGTTCATGACGAAGCCGGCCTGCTTTGGAACGGCAGTCGCCAGGAGATCAATGGTGGAGCTCGGGTCTGAAATAATCTGTTGCAGGTCATTCAGAAGAGTGCCTGCAAGTGCAACAAACAAAAAGTTTGAGAATGTCACAAAGTTAAAGTACCAATCCCTGACAGTGTTGTCTAAATTGCCAAGGGAACCAACTCGTGACACCGAAACAAACATGCGTAGGAAGGTTGGAACAAGGCCTAGGAACACGGACAGAATGATGGCGGGTAGCAGCGACTCGATCAAACCGGTGACGACTGGGGACCAGTTAGAGACATTATCTAAGAACGAGAAAGGCTGGTCGCCGCGGATGGTGATATCAGCAAGCGCGCGGAGATTTGCGAGCCCCATTATTGCCGTGACCGGAATGATCCAGAACAAAGTCAAAAGGACGCATGAAATGATTGTGATAGCCGTTCGCACAGACAGCAGCCCGCTACCAATACTCAAGGCGTTCCAGTTGACGGCGTTGGGCTCTGGAGCGCGCGTGACGCGCCACTCACTTTCGCGGACGGCGAAGCTAACCTGGGCCGCCTCTGCGGCGGCACGCCTAGTCTTAAAGACGACAATGGCCGCGGCGGTGGGGGGTGTGTAAGACTTGTCGATGTCGTGCTGATACCTCATAATATCCTGGGAGTGTTCCTTCTGCTGTTCAGTCCAGTATTGAATGGAGTCGACTTGCGCGGAAGCGCCCCTGCAACATGAGCAGGTGCCCGTTTTATGGGTAGGACGGGAGCCTGCGAGCTTTTCGTTGAACTCCATGTCCCACTCTGCGCGCTCGCGCTTCGTGACGGCGGCCCAGAACTTGGCCTTTCCCGCGACGAGCTTGCGGCCGTCGTTGACGAAGAGGACGCGGTCGACGAGGCCCGGGAAGAGGCGGTTCCAGTAGTGGTGAACAGCGTCTTCTGAGCGGCTTTGCGGCGGGATGTCCTGAATCAGGATAGAATAGTTTGCGGGGTTTTGTGAGGCGTGGTAGCGGATGCGATGGCTGGTGTACGCAGCAAACTCGTTGGAGAGAAGGGTGCAGACGAGACCGGTGATGGCAAACTCGAGGGCGAGGAGGACCCAGAAGCGCCACGAGTCGTCCTCGGGGACGTTGGACAGGGAGAAGCGCTGGACGCCGAGGGTGCGCAAGGGGTCTGCGGCGGGGAGGTTCTTGTTAGAGGCGGTGAAGAAAACGGGGAGCAGGGCGGCGGACGAGAGGACAAGGACGAGGAAGAGAGCGGCCATGGTGCGGAGGAACCTGAGGTAGAGGGCGGTGTCGAGGCCGTGGGTTTCGGCAATGGTGTCGAGATCGAGGCGGATGACGGGGACGAGCCAGCCGAAGAGGCGGTAGGACGGGGGCGGCGGGGAGTAGATGCGGCGGGCGTGGTAGTCCAGCGGGTCGCGGCGGTGGTTGAGCACGCGGCGGGCCTCGAAGACGGCCGGGACGCGCTTGCGGGCGAGATCGAATAGCAGGAAAGATATGAGGAGCGTGGGGATGCCGATGGTGACGTTGATGATCAGGCCGACGGTCTGGCTGTCGGAGTCGTTGTCGTCCATGGCGAGGACGTGGAGGGGGGAGGTGGGGCGCGGACAGGGTGGGGGTGGGGGCGCGCTTAAGTGGGGAGGAGGAAGAGTGGGGAGGCGAGAGTAGGGGAGCTGCGTGAGTCGAAGGCGCGCCTCTGCATTGTTCGCGGGGGGGGGCGGGAGAAGGCGAGTGTCGAGAAGTAGGAGTTACAAGAGGGTGGGACAAACAGGGGGGTGCATTAGATGGCGGGAGCGGGGGATCGAGGAAAAGACGCGGCGTGGCGTAACGACTCTTCGGCAAGCATGCGGGCGAAGCTCCTATCAGAGACGCGTTTTGGACGATGGCCGTACGGTACCGTTGGTATCATACTGTAACATTACTTGCAACGTTAACTTCCGACGCCATGCCTGCTGGTCTGACGTCACCGTCCACTGTGACACGTACCGCCGCTCTCTCACCTACACGTTGCCACGTCGCACACATGTCCTCCGAAACCGTTCGCTCCGCTGTCCCTCTGCTTACACCTCCCATCAACTGTAATCCCACCACAGCACGCTACACCCTACCATACGTGTCATACGTGTACACGGCAGTCCTGCCCGTCGCCTCAACAACCCTCCCGCCCCCGTCTCTCTCCAACCGTGCCCGCGTTCCAAATCCCTGCGGCAGTGGCCGTTCCACTTGCGCCGTCATCTTGTTTGAAAATAGCGCCACTGCCACAACAGATCTCGTCAGGATGATCTCGGCTTGGAAAAGAAGTTCGAATCAAGGAGTGGTCAATGCGTGTCAACACTTCTTTATTGTCCATTTGCATTGTGGATGCATGGAAACTGTATGCAGGTGCAGAAGGAGATGGTTCTAAGATGTCTCTAAATCAGTT